AGGTGCAGCAGGACTGGTGAGAGAGGTGGCTTTGGGAAATAGCCACTTGAAGGAAGCACACTTAGACAAAGTAGAGTAATTCCATTAAACAAACTTAGATAAATCACCATTATAAAATCATTAGCAAGGAAATGAGCTATTCATGTCATTAAGCAGTGGCATGAGCTGAGCAAAGAATGAGAGTGTGGCTTTACTAGGGGGACACATCAATGAATTCATAATGGAGTGAAAAATCAAAGCTTAAAAAACAACCCCAAAAAGCTCTTTGCAGAGCTGGCAAAGCCAGGCCTCCCAGCACGGGGTGTACTTCCAAAAAGGGGGGCTGGTTTAGCTCCACTTGTGAGGATATTATCTTATTATTTATCTTCTTTTCTTTCCCTCCCTTGGGTTTTAGGTTTCATAGACCGTAGCAGTTCGATTCTACCTGACTCCTATGCCATCTTCAGAACATGACTAAAAGGAACCATAAGTGCTGGTAATACTCACTTCCCCGTTACGTACAGTGTAAATCTTCTGAACTGCCTTTTTAAGAAAAAGAAGAAAAAGTAGAAAAATAAATATTTAAAAAAAAAGGAAAATTGTATTTACATGTGATGGGTACTGCAGCATCATCAGACCTGCTGGTTCAAGCTTCAATAACAGAAAATACCCCTGGTGGGAATCGTGCCAAGACTTGGCCTCTGTGTATAAGACTTCCCTGGCATGTGGATTTGCCATTAGGTGTTCAACAAGCCCAGCTGGTGGTGCACCCTCTTCGTCTTCAGGCACCTCTCATCCTGACAAGCCTCCGTCGTCAGCTCTGGGGAGCCCCAAGATGGTGTTCAGGGAATCGCTGGCCTGCGTGGAGGCTCCGAAGGATGAGCAGCTCTGGCACTAAAGCACTTACCCCAAACACTCCTTCCAGGCTGCGAGCACCTCGTGAGGATGGTGAAGGAGCAAAACGTCTCTGTGGGCCAACCACCTGTGAGTGTCATCTGTCCAGAGAAGTCAATGACCAGCTGACAGGCACTGCTCAGCTCCCAGGCAGAAAGAGACATCACCTGGAAAGAACAAGACTCCCTACTGAAGGCTGGTTCTGTCCCAGCAACTGTTTATTCTTCATCTCTTTCAAGTAGCCATTCTCTAAACCCAGCTGTGAGCCCATCAGCAGCAAGGGACACGGATGTGGAGGACAAGCGAGACCCATCTCTTCACGGTGGCTGCGCGGCAGCTCTGCAGGGGGACAGGTGGCAGGAGGAGCAGGGTTGGGTGAGGGAGAGCTGTCCTCTCCCCATCTCCTGCGTCCAGAACTGAGCCTAAACCCACACCCAGACAAGCACAGCAGCTTCTGGCACCCGGCCCAGCAAAAGGAGTCTGGTGCACTGGTACGGACGGTGGGACCCGTCAGCGGGAGCGG